AATTATGTTAATTGACAGCAGGAAGACGAAGGTTAAAAAATGTCAGTTTTGCCGCGTTTGCACACCGCATTTATGCGCGTTTGCGTTCAGAAGCGTTTTTTAAAGCTAAGCACAGGAGAATCTCCCAAATGCCCAGAATGCACTGGAAAATGGTAAATTATTAACTATTTCAGACTGTTTGAGAGAGCAGAAGCAGAGAGAACAGTATGTGTTGAGATTAGCTGCCTGTTTGTTTTTGGGGGTTTTTTTTGTGGTGTTTGGATGTGTTCCGGCTCATTTCTGTGCAGAAATTATTGCAGCGGTGTCTAACATATTTTCTATCATGCGAATGGTATGGTGTACCGGGTCCATTTGAGTACCAGGAAAACGCTTAGCATACATTTTTCATAATGAAAAAAGGCTCTGGACAGCATTTGTAAATGGAAGAGTTAAAAAAAATTTCCAAACGCAAACGCTTATAGACGCGGTTAGCTGTGTTTGAAACGCTGATAAAATCTACTCCTGAACGTGCGTTCAAAAAAAGACTGAAAACTCAACTGCCCGTAAACAACTGTAAAGGACGATGTGTACATGGACACATAGGAAAACATTAGGGAGAGTTCAGGGGCTGCTGAAAAAAAAAACGCAGAAAAGCTCCTAAATTTATCAGCTGCAGTGCACATGGAGCCTAAAAAAGCCACCTCCTGAAGGCCCTTTAGCTTTAATGCCCGGGAAGCAGTCAGGCTTCTCTATCATGTGACTGCTGTGATTGGCTTTCATGTCTCTCATATGACCCACTGGCAGCCAATCGGCTTTGACACCAAGCTGTCTGTGATAGCTCGGTCAGTGTGCTGGGAGTAAACTCGAAGCACACATCCTCAGGTCACTGTGAGAGCACATGTGCAGCGGCTGGGCATTAACGCCCTCCCTCCTTGCTATTGCATATATGCATTACATCAGGGGTGGGCAAACTGTTGCCCTCCAGCTGTTGTGGAACTACAAGTCCCATAATGCCTCTGCAAGTCATGATGCAACTGTGAGTTTTTCAATGCCTCATTGGACATGTAGTTTCATGACACCTGGAGGGCCGCAGTTGTCAGGCCTGCATTACATGGTCAGCAAAAGGTTAAAATTGCAGCCTATACAAGGGGCGTTTAAGTCAAACCAGGACTTTTGAGTTTATATAATAAAAGAACAAATTTCAAGGGCAGCAGAAACTGCATTTATTTTTCAAGTTACTCCCCTCTTACATTTATACACTTATCCCAGCGTTTGACTAATGCCTGGAAAGCTTAGACATAGAAAGATCTGTCCGTATGCCTGAACCTTCCTAGGACAGCCGGCTTCACTTCGTCATTGTTGTGTCACCGTTCCCACAGAAAGATTCTTCTGTTGTGGCATTTCACAACAGGTTATGCGTCGATTATCCAGGATCAGGCGTTCCACGCGCTGAATGTTCACAGGAATCACTGCTGTGGGCTGGAAACCACCACGGCCGGGATCATCACTGACAGACATACAGTCAACTTTTAAATATTTACACGTTCAAATATCTTACTGCGGCTGAGCGTCTCATCACCGTACTGTGCTTTTAGTCTTCTGTAGATATCCGCAGGTTTTACGCCTTCCTTCACAAGAAACCATCACCACACGCTGTTCCATGGACGCACTAACACGGTTGTCTGCCATCTTGATTAACGGTCTCTGGACTGGACATATGCACCGCCTATCAGTAATAGGACACATTGGACACTTACTACTGCGGATAGTACCGCCACGCTAGCATCCCTTTTTATATCTGTCAAATTAAAAGTCCTGGTTTGACTTGAACACCCCGAGGTGTTTATGTATGGTATAATCAAGGGTGTACTTACCACAAGGAAAACAAGGCACTTGCCTAGGGCGGCATTTTTCAAGGGGGGGGGCAGCACTGCCCCTTGGAAGAAGGGACAGAAGAAGGGACACACGCGACATGGGGACCTAGTGGGTTCCGAGAGATGTTGTGGGTTTCATGACGGTGTATGCACAGCCCGACTCTCGTTCCTGGGGATGTCCGGAGCTGTGAAGGTGAGTGTCTTTCTCTCTCTCACCATGTGGGATGGTGGCTGGTGTATGGGTGGCAGTGGTAGTGGAAGGCATGGGTGGAGGGCAGGGGTGCTCTTGGTCAATGTCTGGCTCTTTCTGCGGGGGGGGGGGGGGGGGGGGGGGGGGCGCCACTTTTTGTGTTGCCTAGAACAGCACAAAACCTAAATACACCACTGGGTATAATATTTAACATGTGAGACATTTACACAGTAGTTTGGTCCTTTGTAGTCTTTAACCAGGGCTGTTTGTTTTTTATAATTGGATTTTTTTGCACTTATCAAACAGATATAACAAAACACTTTATGTATATTTCACTGATGAATAGCGAGCATCTAAGACAAGTCCTATGTTAGAGTTTACGTACAATTTATTCTGTATGTAAGATGAAACCGCGCAAATCCCCAATCGGCTGAAGTCACAGAGCGGCAAGTATATAAGAGGATATCATCTTTTAAAATGCTAATGCAAATGGATACTGCGCTAAAAAAACTTTGTGAGCACTATAGAGACCTTCACACCTCTGAAAAGCAATCGAAAACAAAAGCACTGCAATAATTAAACTAAATAAGTGCATACATATGCCCTATGAAGACCCTCACACCTCTGAAATTTGAAAAAATAAAAAAAAGTGACGTCGCTGCTTGATCATGCCCTTACGTGTTTCGTCACATGACTTCGTCTGAGAGCGGCTGCTGAGACGCCACTGTGAGAGCTGAAGATTTTTTCCAGCTATATATTAATGAATGCTGGTTTTTACCTTACACATTGTGACTTTGGTTTTAAGGGGGGTATTTTTGATACAATAAATAGTCAAACGATATTATGCTATGGCGAGTGTTCTTTATTTACCTACATATGGAATTGGATTATACTTACCTTGATGGAGTCTATATGAATCAGCCATCTGATGAATGAATATTTTCTGGATTGATCGGTGTTGTGATGAATCTTCCACATCTACTGATATTTGATTGAAATGCTGATTAAACATCAGCATCTGGTGAGTTAGCACTTTGATGGGGTGTTGAGCACAAAGGAATTCACGGTTGTGGAGAATATATATTTTTTGAAGAAAGTTATGTATGGACTACACTTTATTATGGACTTATAATTTTTGATGTCTCACAATTTTGGCACATATAAATTTTTTTGGGTGGCAGTTTTTTATTTTATATTTTTTTATTTATTTATATATTGATTTATTTATTCTATTTATATATAATTTAAGGGCATATATAGTTATGAGAGCGCAGTTTATGGTATTTCCATTTATTTATATACATAAAAAGGGCAGCACAGTGGCTTAGTGGTTAGCACTTCTGCCTTGCAGTAATTGGGTCATGAGTTCGATTCCCAACCATGGCACCTCCTGCATGGAGTTTGCATGTTCTCCCTGTGTTCGCGTGGGTTTAGATCTACTTTGAGTCAAACTTACGTGACTATTTCAATCCCTTATGATGGTGTCACGGCGCCTCTGGTGACGTTTCTACAAATTGAAAATTAATCGGAAACAGTGGAGACCATACTGACACTTTTAGAAAATGTATATTATATAGGGCGCGCTTGTGAGAAATGTGGAAGTATTTATATATCCTATACTCTAGTTGGGAAAAGAAGTAATAGAACATTGCAGAGTGGGTGGGTTTACATGGGGGAGGAAGGTTTTATCTAGGCAGGAGGGGAAATCAGAAGGGGGGAGGTTATGGGGGTTGGGGAAAGACCCGGCAACCTACCCTGTAAGAACAATTGCTAAGAGAATTCATGGAAAAAAAGTCGCTTACGAGTGACGGTCCATGCAATCGCCAAGGGTCGGATACGACTGAATGGATAGATAAGATATACATAAAAGTTAGTAGAAAAAATTCAAAAACAAAAAAACAATAACAAAACGTCCATATAGATATAAACAATAGTCCATAAGTATGAGAACAAAATTCCACAATCGATGGTATTATTGTAAACAATGCTGTAAATGCAAAAAAACTTGCTTCAACTGGTCACCAGAGTGTACACTCTGCAATAATCACTCAATGACAATGAAAGAACTGTATTCTTTAGAAAATACTGTAACTAAAAATGTAATGTAAGGGTCAAGGTTCATGAAAAATCAGCCAGATATTCGAACAGCAGACGGGATATGTGCCAGAATCCTCCGTTCACAAGGAAATGTCTGGGGGGTTTATACTGACAGATGCACTAATAGCCAGAAGTGCAGCATTCTGCCTCCCAGGCACAGGAGCTATTTAGATACTTATCGTGATTATTTCAGGGGATCGAGCTGCCATGGAGGGCTGGATAACACACACTTATAATTTGCTCATCCATCAACATCTGCACGGCTAAGGTCACATAGGGAATACAATCGGAGCTCTTATGCTTTTATCAAGAAGTTTTCTTATTAAGGAGAAAAAAAAGGGACAAACTGCAGCTGCTACTGTTGTTAAATTTCACTATGATTAATATCTGGTCTCCCTGGACAGACAGCCATGACTCCATGACCTGATAAAAACAGATGCACTCTCTTTCAACATTCTTTATATGCCTAAGGCCCCATGTACACGGGACACTTCTGAACGATGGAAACTGACTGCTGGAAAATGTATGTAAAAAAAGGTCTGTTTAGCTGCGTTTGCATAATGTGTTTATGCGCTTTTGCGTTTAGAAGCGTTTTTTACAGATAAGCACAGGAGAACCTCCCAAATGCCCAGAATGCACTAAAAAGTGGTAAATTATTAACTATTTCAGACTGTTTCAGAGCAATACAGAGAGTAGAAGCAGAGACAGCAGTAAGTGTTGAGATTAGCAAGGTGTGAGTTGCTCATTAAAGTTTCTTTTGTTTCCAAGGGTGGGAAAGGTGTCTGGTGGAGGAAGTCATTAAGGTCACCTGGCAGGGGGTCTTCATGAGGAATTTGAGGTGTGAATGGTCATTAACATATCTTTTGTTTCCAAGGGTGGGAGAGGTCTGAGGTGTGAATGGTCATTAACATATCTTTTGTTTCCAAGGGTGGGAGAGGTCTGAGGTGTGAATTGGTCATTAACATATCTTTTGTTTCCAAGGGTGGGAGAGGTCTGAGGTGTGAATGGGTCATTAACATCTTTTGTTTCCAAGGGTGGGAGAGGTCTGAGGTGTGAATTGGTCATTAACATATCTTTTGTTTCCAAGGGTGGGAAAGGTCTGAGGTGTGAATGGTCATTAACATATCTTTTGTTTCCAAGGGTGGGAGAGGTGTGAGGTGTGAATTGGTCATTAACATATCTTTTGTTTCCAAGGGTGGGAGAGGTCTGAGGTGTGAATGGTCATTAACATATCTTTTGTTTCCAAGGGTGGGAGAGGTCTGAGGTGTGAATGGTCATTAACATATCTTTTGTTTCCAAGGGTGGGAGAGGTCTGAGGGTGTGATTGGTCATTAACATATCTTTTGTTTCCAAGGGTGGGAGAGGTCTGAGGTGTGAATTGGTCCTTACAATGTGTGACAAGCTTGGTAGGAACATCCTGTGTTCAGTGTTTTGTCCATCTTGAAAATGCTTTGCATGCATTTTTCATGATGAAAAAAGGTTCTGGACAGCATCGGGAACTGGAAGAGTTAAAAAAAGAAAATTCAAATGCTTATAAACGCGATTAGCCAAATTTACAAGCATTTTGCGTTTGAAACGTTGATAAAATCGACTGCTGAACACAAGTTTGGTGCGTTCAAAAAAATGACTGTAAACTCAAATGCCTGTAGATGACTGTAAACGAAGATGTGTACATGGACACATAGGAACACATTAGGGAGAGTTCAGGGGCTGCTGAAAAAAACGCAGAACAGCTCCTAAAACGTGAGTTTATCAGCTGCAGTGTACATGAGCCCTAATAACTAGTGGTGCACCGAAATTTAAATTCTGGTGCCGAAACCAAAAATTCTAAATGCACTTGGCCAAAAACCGAAACGCCCAGTTTTTAAAAATGAGTCTGTACCAAGGCCAAACATTCCAGGGTATGAAAACTTTTGATCCGGGCCATTTGGGAGATTTCTGTTATCATTATGATTTAAATAGGAGCCAAGCAACTATGTGATAATAAATGGCTTCATATAATCACTATCTTTAAATAAAAGGCAGTTTTTTTGGCATAATCAATCATATTTTCAATGCCAAAATTTTATGATTCCTGCCAGGGTGTGCAAACTTTTAAGCACAACTGTATGTTTAGAACTGTGGTCTCCAAACTGCAGCCATGGAGCCAGATGTGGCCCTTTGCTTGCCTTTATCCGGCCTATGAGGCATTATTCCTGCCATCGACATAAAAAATGGGGCATAATTCCGCCACTGACACAACAATGGGGCATTGTTTATTATTACTGGACACAGACTGCCCCCCCCTAAAGTCTGAAAGACACTAAACTGGCCCTTTGTTCAGAAAGTTTGGAGACCCCTGGTTTAGAACATTCAGCTCAATCGTTGGTATACTGTGATCCAGGGTGGATAAAAATCAATGATTTTTTTTTTAAAAAAATCTAAAAAAATATCAGATTTTTTTAATTTAAATCGGATTTTTTTGAATAAAATGCTTTTTGAGGAAAATATATTACCATCCAAAGATTATTCCATCATGAAATAAAGATTAGTTTTTTAATTATGTAGAATAAGGCTGTATAGGTGTAATTTTTTTGGTAAATAAATGCCATGAATCCATTCACAATGTCATGCTCTTCAGAGGTTTTTGTAAGATTATTGGGCAGTTTCTCTGCCTACAAGATATTATCACAGATGTTTGGTTTACTTTTGCAGTTTCTCAAAACTGAATTTGGCTCAGCGGAGATCACATGCCTCTTCTTCACAGCAAAAATGTTATAACATGAACAGAGTTAAGAAAAAGACCTTCATCCTAACTTCTACAAACCTATGAATACAGAATCAACCCCTTCACTGCTAAGTTTCAAGAAGTTCAGTGAATAGAATAGAAACAATATTTTTCTGATTGTTTGGAGTGGAATAGATCTGCACAAGAAGAAAGTGAAACTAAGTGTGAGGGGGAAGGGGCCGACAGTCTACGTTTCTTAAAATATATATATTTTGTTTAGGCAAATTAGTTACCAAACATGAATGTTTAAGCAAATCACATATGCTGGAATGTTATTGTTTCAGATGAATAAATCTATTTAAATTGTTATTATTAAGGTAATGATTATTTTTCTCCTTCCTAAGTACAACAGAAAAGTTGTCCAAATATGAATGATTAACCTATTAAACTGGGGATAAAAAAACAAATGAAAAGTTGTTATTCTAAAAAATCTTCATCTACTTGTATATTAAAGTTATACCAGCAAGAATTAGTCTTTATGTAGAAAACTAGGATTTATATCAAGCCTTACTGACTAGTGATTTAAATCAAATCCACCCTGCTGTGATCCAACATTTTTTTTGGCAGACAGAGGTGTACCAACCCCCCCCCCCCCCCCCCCCCCCCCCCCCCCCTCCCCCCCCCCCCCCCCCCCCCCCCCCCCGGCCATCTCTTTGTCCTTTCCTAACCGTTATAAAATTCATCAAATCCAGTAATAAATTAAATCAGATATAAAAAAAATCAATGTCAAAGTGTAGGACTCAAAGCTAGTTTGTATGGGCACTGACCAGAACACATACATGCTTAAGGTTCAGTCAGACGGACGGTAATCCCCTTTGTTATTGCATCTGCATCAACCACAGGCATTCTACAGAGGTGGACGCAAAATGCAGTGGCTACATGAACACATCCACATGCAGCTGCATTTCAAAATTTGACATGCGGGCGTGAGGAGGTGTTCAGATCCGAAAAGAGAGAATGTGGATTCAGATCCTTGCACGCACTCCTGCCTGCATGTCAAATTTTGATATGAAGCTACAAGTAGCCATGCGGCTGCTGTGTTTGCATCCACCTCTGTCCTTTTGTCTCTTTTGGTCAGCTGATCATCTCGACTGTTCCTATGCTTATCAGACAATGCTTTCCAGGAAACTGTATACGCCGTCATAACCTTTGATCCTGGGCCTCACGACACGGCAAATAGATTGGCAACTTCAGTCAGAGGCACCAGCTAAGCGGCACCAACAACTTGCCCTCTTTGAAGCTCAATAAGCCCTGACATGACTCCGTATTACTAGCAGCGTAAGCAGTTAATAATTAAAGTAAGACTGCCCACCTGTTAGCTAGGTGTCTCATCACACAGCAGGAAGAAAAAAGAAATGTTAAATCCCTTCTACTTTCAACAGGAAACACGTCGTCACTTTCACACCTGAAAATCATGTCCTGTTCCCATTTTTTTTGTCTTACCCCGTTATCAACAGTCTCTTTTGAAAGAGAGTCCAACTGTTGTTTCATCAGTTCAGTCTGAGGCAGATGCAGGCAAAACAGCAAAGGGAACCTGCACACTGGACTGGTGTCAATGCCTGTCTGAATGACCCTTAAGCCTAGTACACACAATCAGAAAATCGTATGAAAAGTACCGATTGTACAATAATCTGATCGTTAGCACACAGCTTTCTGACGAAATTATTCAAAGGGACAAGCACGAAAATTTTTCTTGTACGATATCAAATCATACGATTTTCATTTAATCAGAACAGTTTTTCGTCTAAAAATATAATACAATACCTTAGGCCAGGTTGACATATGTGCAGGTGGTGCCGCTGAGGATCCGCACGAAAATCCATGCAGCCGCACCACCCGCACAGAGCAATGCGGACCCGCGAGCGGGTGCCATTAATTCTAATGGCACACCGGCAGCACTGGAAAATGCAACCGTGTGGGCTGTGTTTTCCGAAGAAGTACAGGGACTTCTTCCCTGCGTGTCACGGGCACGGGAGTCCATTCAAATGAATGGGCTCTCGTGCCCGTGCAAAACGCGGCCCGCACAGCCGCATAGATGTGAACCGGGGGTTACATCACATCCGAATTTTTATTTTATTGTATAATAATAGCATGCAAAACAAAAAAACAACGGACTATCATTCATCCATCATTATGTGTACAGGGCGTTAGAGTACCCAGAAAAAAGATCTTGGATATTATTTTTACTGACTTCCCATCTTTTTAGTTTCCCAAAGATCAAACACAAAGTGTGAGAAAATCTCTCCAAGATGAAATGAAATCCCACTTAGACAGTTGTCATCAGAACAGGTCTCTCTATTGAAAGATTTTCCCTCATCTCTTGTTTTGATGACAACTGTAAAATTTTGGATTTTCCATCATTTTCTGCTCAGTGAAAATAGTCACCAGGACAGAAAGGGAGGGCAAATCTCCCCAACTGAGATATAGACAGCAATTCAAAACTGAAGGGGGATCTAAGCCTTCTCTTCTCCACTCTATACATACGTCCCAGCAACATTCCAATAAAATGTTTAAATAAACCTGTTTTCATTACATACCTTATTTTTAACCCAGTGCCTTTATCACTGTCTCTATGCCTCTCAATGCAATGCAGGCAGATCATGGCTGGTGGGAGGGGCCAGCAGGGTGCTGTACATAGCTTCCTCAAATTATCACAGCACACTGCCGCAGTACTCCTCTCAAGAGCCCTCAGCCTTGATGCAAGCAGGAGGTTGGCTCTTAGGAGGAGTTATTCAAATATCAAAATGTCTTGATGAGTGGGTATCAGTCTGAGTGGGAGTGGGTGTTCCTAAGCAGGCTGCATTTGCATGAATATTGTCCTAGGTCAGCCTTTCTCAACCAGGTGCCCAGGCACCCTGGTGTGCCTTGAGGTTTCTTCAGGGGTGCCTTGGCAAAATGTCTAAAAGTTTCACAAAACTTGTATACAAGCCAGCAGGGTGGAACAAGCCTGCCTTTAAGTCACGGGTTTTCATTGTGCGCCATTACGACCTTCTAGCCACCCGTATCCTGACAACCAATGACATCATCAGTTAATAAGGAGGATGTCAGCTGACTACACATTATCCTTGTTTGACCCTCCCCCGCCCCTCTCCATCAGTACTGGGGTCACATTAGTTCAGTGATGGAGTAAAACTGAGGGAGAAGAGAAACACTGGAATACTAGTCAGGACCAATGTGAAAAAGTGTATTTGATTTGGAAGAATAAATTTGAATATTTTTTACATTTCAGGATGGGGTTCCTCGGGTCTGTCCATAATTTTAAAGGGTGCCTCGGGACTGTCCATAATTCTAAAGGGTGCCTCGGGACTGTCCATAATTCTAAAGGGTGCCTCGGGACTGTCCATAATTCTAAAGGGTGCCTCGGGACTGTCCATAATTCTAAAGGGTGCCTCGGGACTGTCCATAATTCTAAAGGGCGCCTCGGGACTGTCCATAATTCTAAAGGGCGCCTCGGGACTGTCCATAATTCTAGAGGGCGCCTCGGGACTGTCCATAATTCTAGAGGGCGCCTCGGGACTGTCCATAATTCTAGAGGGCGACTCGGGACTGTCCATAATTCTAGAGGGCGACTCGGGACTGTCCATAATTCTAGAGGGCGCCTCGGGACTGTCCATAATTCTAAAGGGCGCCTCGGGACTGTCCATAATTCTAGAGGGCGCCTCGGGACTGTCCATAATTTTAGAGGGTGCCTGGGACTGTCCATAATTCTAAAGGGTGCCTCGGGACTGTCCATAATTCTAAAGGGTGCCTCGGGACTGTCCATAATTCTAAAGGGTGCCTCAAGACTGTCCATAATTCTAAAGGGTGCCTCAAGACTGTCCATAATTCTAAAGGGTGCCTCGGGACTGTCCATAATTCTAAAGGGCGCCTCGGGACTGTCCATAATTCTAAAGGGTGCCTTGACTGAAAAAAGGTTGAGAAACACTGTCCTAGGCACTGCCCACATGTGATGCTGATTTGCCATGATTTACAGAACCTACACCCAATAAATGAGGCGGAGCTCTATCTGACTTACTGCACCTTATATTGCACACTGCGAAAGCTCACATTGTGCAGTGAAAGCAGAGTAAGCAATTTTAGTGCAGTAGAAGTGCCATTGCAACTGGGCAAAACTGAAGCGCATGCTGGCGTTTGCCCTTAAATATATCTGTTATGCTACTTTCTATAGCTTCATTTAGATCCTTCCCCAACAAGGGGGCCAAGCCTAGACAGCCCACTACTATGGACACGAATTAAAAATCAGCAAACCGATGAGAAACTATAAGGTGAGAAGGTAGTCTCATTCCACCACAGAAGGCACCTATTATTACTAAATTCTCACCTTGGCTATAGTGTTGGCAGTCATTTCTGAAGTGGGTGTAGAGTTTTTTTCCCTTTCTGCAACCTCCATTTTAAACTGCAGCATGCCACGTGACACGATCATTAAACAAATATATTACAAGGCACTCCTAACATGCAACTGCATCACTTACCAAGTGTATTCTGGCAAGTATGATGGGAAGGCCAAATGCTGAAACTAC